GTTGTTTGGTGGGCCCGGGCTGGGGATTCGAACCCGCCACCTTAGGTGTATGTGGCTGGTGCCTTAGCTGCTTGAGCCACAGGCGCCGAGCCAGGTTCAACTTTCTATACCAGAGAATCCACAGAGTTGCCAGTGAGCCAAGGGCCAAATGCCCTAGTTCTAGCCAGGGTGACTGTCATGGCATCCTGTCTTTTCTGTCACATGGTTTATTACTATTGGCTGTGGTTTTGTTCCAATGTAAGTAGTTCTCAGTAAGGATCTTGGCGATGAACTTTGATATATTTTTTTCATATAGAAAAAATTAATCAAAAGTGTATCCTGGCTCAGCACCCATAGCTCAGTGGTTAAGGCGCTGGCCACATACACTGAGGCAGGCGGATTCGAACTCGACCCCGGCCTGCTAAACAACAACGAAAACTGCAACAGCAACAACACAAATAGCCAGGCATTGTGGCGGATGCCTGTAGTCCCAGCTACTTGGGAGGCTGAAGTGAGAGAATTGCTTAAGTCCAAGAGTTAGAGGTTGCTGTGAGCTGTGATGCCATGGCACTCTACCAAGGGTGACATAGTGAGACTCTGTCTTAGAAGAAAAAAAAAAGTGCATCCCAAGGCACAGTGTGAGAAATTCCAGTTGAAGGGGTTAGGATGAAGTGAGCACTTGGGCACCTGCCACTGGCATAAGAAGCAGAACCTACAGAGCCACCATGGGCTGCTGCCCAGGTCCAACCTCAGAGTCTTCATTTCTTTAAAGATTCTTATAGTAAGTGTCTATATTCCCAAACTAAATATTAGTTTTTCTTGTTTTTAAACATCCTGTACACTGAACTCATCTTTCATGTTTTCTTCTGTGGCACACACTACATGTAGGAGAGTTATCTCTGATGTGGGAGGCTGTCATTCATTTTTACTACTGAAGTTTTACATTCTATAATCATACAACAATTTTGCTACCTTTCTGTCATTGTATGCATGGTTGATTCCAGTTTTTTCCACAAACATTAGTATACATGTCTCCTGTACAAGTCAGGACACATAGGCAAGGAAGTCTCAACCAAGAGTGTATCAGGAGTAGGACAGTAGGATTATATGGTGTGAATACTTGAACTGTACTAGTTAATGCTAATTTTATTTCCAAGGTGTTTCTACCAATTTAAGTTTTATCAGGAATGTGTAAGAGTTTAGGTTGCTCATCTGTTCTCACAACACTCAGGGAAAATGAGTGAAGAATTAAAAGGCACAGAATTATGAGGCATTTTTTTCCTCAGACTCTATTGATAACTTTTTAAAATTTTATCCTATACATCCTAGCATTATACTTTTATTATACAGATCCAGACAATGCTGCCTTTCAGCATAAACACATATGGTAATTTTATATGTTACTAATCTTCCAAAATAAAAAGGGAAACGTGGAGGGAGGAGGGGAAGGAGGTACGGAAGAAAGAAGGAAGGGAAGGAAGAAAAGAGAAAGACAAACTAAGAGAAAAGAAGAAAAGGGGGAGAGGAATTGGAGACAGCCTGTGTAGCTAACATTATCAAAAGGCAAGAAAATAGCAGAGGTGTAGATAACACTTACGGAATAGTAGCAATGTAAGAGAGCTTTATTACATATCTATGCCTGTGTAACAAACTACCTCAAAATTTAGTGGCTTAAAACACCAAACATTTATTAACTTAGAGATAATACGAATACCAGCAAAATGGATCCAATGTGGGTGGGAGGAGTTGGATGAAGGGAAGGATTTTACAAGTTTCAATAAATAAGAAGTCTTTTGTGTGCAGATGGAAGTTATTCTGTTAGTCCAAGTCATCCAAGAAAAATGACAAGATGAGATTAAACTCACCAGCATGTAATGAGGGACAGACAATATGGGGAGGGAGCCAGAAAACTCTGGGCAAGCCGCAGCTAAGATGCAAGTCTGAGCCCCTGTGAAGGAGAGAAGGTCTGAGACAGGCAGCCCAGAGCACAGGCGGCCTAAGGAGAGCTGGGCAAGGCTATGGAGAAGTCCTAGAGCCACGGTTGGCCAGCAGAGGAGTCCCCTGACTCCCAGGAGTGGGGCCTACCTCAGTGTCCCTGCTGTGACCTGTGACTGTACAGGAATCAGGGTCTCTGTACCAATGCTGCTGGAAATGTCAGAGCACAGGAGGGGCCCCTTGCTAGATTCCCTGGGGTGTGACTCAAACCTTCCTTCCTCTCAGGCCTGCTAAACAACAATGACTTCAGTAGTAAAAATGAATGAGCCTCCTCTGGGCTCTTGAAAATCAAATCCTCTCAGACTGGGTTCCTGGATGGTTCTGTTCACAATGACACTGAGCCAGGAGAAGCCCAGAGCTCCTAAGTGGATCTCTGGGTTCCACACACGCTGCTCCCACCTGTCTGTGTGAAGCAGCCCTGCCTCCTCCTGGGGGTCAGGGTCCATCACCTCTGCTGGAGAGGAGGGGACTCCTCTTCTCCTGCTGGTCTCTGGGCAGGTGCTGTTCAC